AGAGAGAGAGAGAGAGAGAGAGAGAGAGAGAGAGAGAGAGACCCTTTGCTATATGGAAGTGGCCTGCCTGCTTGCTGTCCCAGGCTGCGCTGGGCCTTTCCCAAAAAGCTTCCGGTAGGCCCCGGTAGGTTGAGGCCCAGTCCACACAACTCACGCTCTGGGCCTGTAGTGGTTCCTCGCGCCCAACTGTCAAAGGCCTGTGTTAGGCCCGCATCCCGTATCCAGCCCAGGGCCTGCCTTCGATATATACAAACAGGCTTCCTAGGGCGTGGGTTCTTCCAACCAACTGGCGTTGCGCAACTGCCTGAATTTCCTTGAGTTGCGTGGTGACCGAAATAGGGGCCCCCAGGCCCTCGTCGTGCCTGTCTTCACTTAGGGCGGCCGACGTGTTACTTGGCAGGGCCTGAAAGGGGCTCATAGGGGCATAAGCCTCGCATTATTATTTCTCTATTTATTTTCTGAAATTTTAATTTGCGGCATTTTGAAACCTAGTGTGCATATCTTGGTCTCTCCTTTCCCTTGCCACATTCTTGACCCCATGGGGGGTAGAGAAATGTTGTAGAAAAATAAAAAAAAAAAAATATTATTTTTCTCTTCACATTTTGTTTCCTTATTTCTTTAACTATTTTTATTCTTTATTTATTTATTATTTATTTTTATTTTTTTCTGGAAATTTCCTTGTTTATTTATTTTTCTCTTCCCTTCCCCCTCCATGGGTTGCTATTCTATTTTCTTGATTAGGTCACCTATACCCTACCCTAACCACTCAAACCCCGGTTAGGGTTTTTCTACGGTTTAAGGTTCTCCTAACCCCCCTACCTCCCCTTTCCATTCAGGCACCCTGGACCCGAGCCACCCTTTCTCCGGGCGCCCGCGCTCGACTCACTAGCGCCGCCCCTGGCTTTCTACCGAGGAGCCCCCCCTACGCCCTTCACTCACGCGGACCTGCTCTGGCCCCCTCCAGTCCGGCCCATCACCTCCCCATGGCCGACGGTGTGTCACAAGCCGCCGACGAGGCGACGACCTCGGCACCGGGCTCCATACCCGTGCCAGCGGACCAGGGCCATCAGACCCAGAGGGATCTGCACACCCTCCTCACCTCCCTCCTTGCGCCCTTACAGGCGCAAACAACGACTCTTGCCGCTGGCCTGCGGCAACTCCACTCCTTCCTCTCCCCACTTTCTCTCTTCCCCTGACTCCCAGTCCTGGTCCCCCGTCCTCCAACATGGTGGCCACGACTGAGCTTCCTCCTCCGCTGCCCCCGACCCAGCCATTTTGGTGACCGTCCACGCTTCTAGCGCGACGGCCGCCACGGGCCAGGCCTTCCCTCACCCTATAGGCACACCCGCCCAAATTCCGGTCACTACGGCCACGGGACCACAACCCTTTGCCGTGGTCTCAACTTTTCCGGGTGCCCCGCTTCTACCTCCCCTTCGCACGACCACAACGCCACCTGGCTCTCCCCCTCATGGGATGCCCTGTGCCGCTCGTGCGTCCACTTCCCCCACTCTTCCTCCTGCCACTCCTCGCTCGATCTACGTTCGACGTCTCGAGGACGAGCTTGCCCAGATCCGGGCCGACCTCGCCCTCTTACGCCTTCAACCACCCCTACCCTCACAGGTGGCCGCACCTTCGGGCACACCCTCTTCTTCATCCTCTACTCTTCCATCCATGCAGGCTCACTTTCCCCGCCCTGCACCCCCTCCACCCCCATCCTACCTCCTTCCTACTCCCTCGACTGCTGCGACCTCTTCTAGTGCAGCTCCCTCGCAGCCCGGCGCTATTGCCCCCGCCTCTCCACCATGCAGCCCGGGCGTACAGTCAGTTGCGCCCCCTTCTCCAGCACCTGCGCCGACTTACTCGGCTGTAGCGCAGGCCTCTGCTCCTCGATCTCCTCACCTCCAAAACGGTGGCGCACCACTCGTCTGCTTGACGAACATTGCCTTGTATGATGGTACAGGGATACGCGTGTCTCGGTGGCTGCAGTCTGCCACCCACACGTTGCAGCTCATGGACGTCCCACCCGACACGTGGGTGACTTACCTCTCCACGCGCCTGCGCGGCAGTCCTTTCGACACTTGGGAGGGTTTCTACACTCACTCCCTTCGTGAGGGTCAGACCCCGACCTTCATGGATTTTCAAGCATTCCTCGAGGATTGCTTCGGAGCCCAACATGATGTGACTGATGCCTTCGAGCGTGTCGTCACTACATGCTGGTCCGGCTCTGGTGGCGCTGTCAGCTTGGACCGCCACATCCAGGTCTTTCAGGACGCATGCCTCATTTGTGATATGGCGTTCCTCCTCGAGGCTGCTCTTATTGATCGCTTCTTGGCCAGCCTTCCCCTTGAGTACCGCTCTGAGTTATGGCGGTATGATTTCACATCGGCGCCGCAGGACTACGAGGCCGCCAGGGCTCATGAGCGGATGCGGGCCCGTCTTCACCCCGCTTCCTCCTCCCAGCCCCAACGTACTGGCTATGCTCCCTCCTCCTCTTACGACACTTCCCAGCATCGTTCTCCTTTCCACATTCGTCCTCGTCGTTCCGCGCAGCAGGGCCGCCACTTCCCGCACTGCTTCAGCACGCTCAAGTATGGTGAGCAGGACGCTGTTGCCACGTTGTCGCCTGAGGGTGACCATAGCGACGACCTCGACCTCTGTGAGGCCGTCCACTACCACTTGGAGGACTCTACCCTCCCTATAGCCGAGCGCCTCCAGCTCACCCTCTCCACCCTCTCCCGAGCACACAACCGCTCTGGTCACGCTGGCGCATCGCCCCCCGAGGTCCCTCAACAGGACCTCCCTCAGGGCCTTGTCCCTCCTCGCGGTGTCCTTTCCGCCGAGGAGCGTGCGGCCATTTTGGGCCGGCATGGGTGTTTGCGCTGCCGTCAGGACGGTCATACCTCCTCGCAGTGCCCTTACACCGCCGCCCTCGACCGCCATTACGCTAAGCTCTCTCGCCAGCGTCATGCTCAGTCACCCCTCGACGCCTCCTAGCCACTGTGTAGTGTACACTTTCACCCTCCTCAGTAGTCGGCTTCCCGACATCTCCGTCGCGGTTTGCCCCTCTCGCTACTGGAGTTGAGGTATCACAGGACCCGACAGAGTGTACTCAACCCTCTGTCGCAATACCGTCTCTGCCTCTGCAGACCACAGCCTCCCCTCCTATCTCTCCGCGATTAACGACGCGTCGAGCCACTCGCTCAGCCCGTTGCAGCGAGCAGCTTGCGACTCGCGAGGACGTTGTGTCCTCTCTTCTGGACTTGAGCATGCTCCAGGCTCATCAGAAGCGACTCACCCTCCATGTCGCTGCACTGCGTCGCCTTCTCACCATCCTCTCTGAACCTGATCGCACCCTCCCGATGATTCCAGTACGACTCGGGACCTCCACGAGGGTGTACTCAGCGTTGTGGGATTCCGGTTCTTCGGGCGACTTCATTCACCCACGTGCAGTGAAAGAAACCTGCTTACTCGCGAAGGGTCTCCGACTCCCATCTCCGTCACCTTAGGGGATGACAAGACCCAACGCTTCTTCGATCAGACGGTCACCGACCTCCCTTTCTTCCTCACTCTCGAGCCGACTGATCGTCCCCCATTTCGATGTGATGGAGACAGGGTATGATTTATTTCTTAGTACTCCGTGGTCTCGTAGGTTCCGCAGCACCAAGGCCGATTGGGCGACCAACACTCTCGTTCTCAAAATGAAGTGTGGACAAACGTATTGAGTACCTTTCACAGGTACCACCGTGACACCACGCCCCTACCCTCCTCCCCCAGAGCCTTCCGTGCCCACACCATCTCCTACTATCACCGTCACCTCGCCTCGGCAGTTCGCTCACTTCATCCGACAGGACGACATCACCTTCTTTACGGTGAACGTTACGGATCTCTTGCACTATGATCCACCCTGTCCAGACGCCGAGCTCATCTCTCTGGAGCCAGATCCTCCTTCTATCACTATGGCTTCCACCTCTACTTCCCTCCCTCTGCCGTCTGTCGAGTCCACCCCGCCGTCGCGCGTTGACGCTGACGCTGAGGAACTCGCACGCTATACGGCTGACCTGGAGCCCACAGTTCATGACCTCATTCGAGAGTACCACGACGTTTTTCCATCGTAGTTTTTGTACGCCGGGATCCCACTGATGCTCGTCGTCAAGCATTCCATCCAGCCTGTGTCTGACTATCGTGTTCACCGCCAGGCACCCTACAGACTCTCGATCCCCAAGACCACCGAACTCAAGCGTCAGCTTGAGGAGCTCCTAAGACTAGGTTTCATTAAACCCAGCAACACCCCGTGGGTTGCACCCGTCCTCCTTGCTCGCAAAGCGGATGAAACTCTCCGTCTCTGCAAAGATTATCGCGGGCTCAACCGCTACACGGCTAAGAACAGCTACCCCATGCCTTGTTCCGACGAGCTGTTCAACCGCCTAGCAGGCAACTGCTTCTTTACAAAGATTGATCTTCGTAGCGCTTACCATCAGATCCGCGTCGCTGCAACGGACCAGCCGAAGACAGCGTTCCGATTGTGCTTCGACCACAATGAGTTTACGGTGATGCCATTTGGCCTCATCAATGCACCCGCTACCTTCCAGAGGGCGATGAACAACATCTTAAGGGACATCCTGCAGCAGTACGTTCTCGTCTACCTCGACGATATCTTGATCTACAGTCGTACCCTTATTTGCATCTCAGACACCTCCGCGATGTCCTTGACCGCTTGTGCAAAGTGGATTTCTTAGGACACTACGTGTTTGACCAGGGTCTCCACATGGACGATGCGAAGATCACTACTACTGCGGAGTTGCCCGTCCCCACATCCTCCAAGCAGCTTCGCAGTTTCGTAGGCTTCGCTAGTTACTATAGCAACTTCATCTAGGGATACGCTAGGTATTCCTACGTCCTTAGCTCCACCCTCCTCCTAAAGAACCCGCCATGGTCTTGGACACCCCTCCACGAGGACGCCTTCCGCGCCCTCAAGAAGGCGGTGACATGTACACCGCTTCTTCACCTACCCGATTTTGATCGCCCTTTTATCCTTACCACCGATGTGTCAGACTTTGCTGTAGGAGCAGTGCTTTCTCAGATTTTCCCCTCCTCTTCTGATTCCTCTCATCCTCGCATCCCTCGCTTCCCACCTCTTACCCCTACCACTGCTTCCCGCCTGACGCCTACTCGTCCAACTACTCACGAGCCTTGTATTGATTATTCTCCTACCATTGCCGAGGACGATACTGTCGAGTCTCGCTCAGGTGATTGTCCGATAGCCTTTTACTCCCGCCAGCTCCTGCCCGCCGAGATAAACTACACTGCTGATGAACGTGAGGTTCTCGCAGTAGTTTATGCCGCTCGGCACTGGCGTCACTACTTGCACGGGGCACCATTCACGGTGCGCACAGACAACTCTGTTGTCCAGGCTTTTCTGACGAAGTCGAAACTCACTCCTCAATAGGCTCGCTGGTGGCGCGACCTATCCTAGTTTAGTTTCACCACTGAGCACATCAAGGGTGAGACTACTTGGGTCACAAATGCCTTATCCCGGCGCCCCGACCATGATCTGGGGCAGATCCAGCTCGCTGCCATCTCAGTCACCACCGTCCACCACTCGATGATCGACGAGTTTCGCACTCAGTACTGCCACTGCCCCGACTATCGCGATATCCATGCGCCCTTTGGAGTGGCAAGACTGTCCCGAACTACTCTCTCAGGGACAACGGTCTTGTGTACTGGCACGGTTCACAGGGTACCAGAGAGCCCCGTATTTGTGTTCCCTCCACTGGACAACTACGTGTCCGGGCAGTAGCAGAGTTCCATGACCATGCAGCCGCTGGTCATATGGGCTTCCACAAAACGTTGGTTCACGTGAGCCGCCTGTACGTCTGGCGGGGCCGAAGCGCAAGGACTTTGTGAAGGACTACGTCGCAGAGTGTCCCACCTGTCAGGAGGTGAACAGTGCGAACCACCTGCCTTATGGTTTGCTCCAGCCTCTTCCTATCCCTGAGGGTCGTTGGCAGTCCATCTCGATGGACTTCATCGGTCCTCTTCGTCCTCCGCCCCCCCGCGGTCATGATGCTATCCTGGTCGTTGTCGATCGGTTCACGAAGCGCGCACGCTTTGTTCGTTGTCGCTATGCCATCAGTGCACGTGAGGTCACCGACATCGTGTTTGACCTAGTCGTGCATGACCACGACTTACCTCTGAGCATCATACCCGACCGTTGTCGGGACTGGTGGGTCCCGAATAACTTCCCATCACTCGAGAGATTGAATACAGACAATTTATGCGCAACAGAGAAATCTGGAGTGAGGAAGCTGGAGAGAGAAAAGACAAAGGATTAGGCTGCAGAAAGGAGTAATGCCCTGAGGAGAGAACCACAGGAGGAAAGAACTAGCGGTGACAAGCAAGCGAGCGCAAGAACAGGGGCACATAGAACATAGCAGGAGGCCGGGAGGGTCATCGGAATGCAATAAGACTAAGGCCAAAGGGCCCTTTGAACTAGCAATTGCAGCGCGACAGCAATAAGGGAATGAGGAAGTCGAGGAATGGGCAGCCAGAAGCCGCGGGAAGTTAGGAAATGAGGGTCCAACGTGGGGGCCACCTATGGGAGCCTCGGAGCAGACGCCCGCGACCAAAGAGATCGGCACGCACAAGGCGCGATGAAAGACTAAGGAGAGGGGTCGCTATGGGGTGACGAGACGCCCAAGGGGCATGGGACACCTCGGGGAAAGGCACTCGGGGCCACGTGGGACTAAATAAAAATAATGGCGTCCGGGGCGAAATGTGTCGGGGACCGCCGACGGGAGTAAGTGTCGGGGACTCCCGACGGGACTAAGTGTCGGGGACCGCCGACGGGACTAAGTGTAGGGGACCATCGACGGGACTAAAGTGTCGGTGACCACCAACGGGACAAGTAGTGGGAGCATGTGAAAGTCCCAAGAAGAAACGGCGGCACCGCATGAGGGGAAAATAATAAATGCAAGGTGCACCGTCAAGATCGACATCTTGACGGCCAAGAATATTAACACCACTAGTGCAAGTACTAGTGGTGACAAACGGGGAGGCCAAAAGGAAAAGGAAAAGGAAAGAAAACTGAAGTGGGAGGCATGGGAGCAATCCGAAAAATCTCGGATCAGCCTCCCTCAAGAAAATGGAGTCAAATGAGACCCCATGTGAAAAATAGCTCTCCGGGAGAAAATCGGAGTAGGAGGGACCATTGTGGAAGAAATGTAGGAGTAAAAGAAGGCTCCCATAGGCATGGGAAGACCATTATTGCAGTCCGAGAAATAACGGACTGCACCTTGGGCGTAGGGAGGGCCAAAACTAAGAGGAAGAGGCTAGAAAAGGGCCTTAATGGCCACTTGACACTTTGCATGCTAGAAAAAAGTGAGAAAAAAAAACAAAATGGGGGAGAATAAAACAAAAAGAGTGAGAGGGAGTGAGTGAGTTGGCCGTTAGTAGGGACTGCCATAGGTAGGGACTGCCAGGTCTCTACTGTCAAAGAAAGAAGGAGACAAAAAAAAAAAAAAAAAAAAAAAAAAAAAAAANAAAAAAAAAAAAAACCTTAACGGTAAAAAACGGTCACTAGGGGAGTTTCATCCGTTACCAGATTCATTATGGAATATGACGGTTACAAAGGACTTTGATTTTTTTTTTATTTTTGCAGAGAAAATCAAAGAAAATCAAGGCCTCTTACAACCGGAATAAAACACAATACATGCATGAGGAGAAACACATGTTTTAGGTGCATCCGGAGCCAAAATCAAGGCCGGATGCACTTCGGAGTTGGCCGTTTCTTTTTCTTTTGAGTAATGGCTAGTTGTGGGGCATTGGGGCTAAGGAATTGACCCCCATTGCAGTCCGAGTTGCAATGGACTGCATAGGAGAGAGAAAACACAAGTTCTAGGTGCATCCGGAGCCAATATTGAGTCCGGATGCACTAGAAAATTTAACGCTTCATTTTCTTTCAATATGGGGCAAGTTGTGGGGCTGTGCGTATGGAAAACAGCCATGACTGCAGTCCGAGAAATTACGGACTGC